TTAAGTATTTTTCAGCCGCCTATAAACTAAAACTGCATATAAATTTATGTTGGCCTTGAAATTGAAATATTCTTGATCAGTTAATTAGTTAGTTTACATTATATATTTTTGGTTCATACTTGTATTTCTTCTTTAATGAATCCTTTATCTTATTCCAAAGTCTTGATAATTCTTTAGAGCGATTGTATTTTTTACACGAATAACATCAGTTTTTCTTAACGAATTATTTTTTTCTTTGCAATGTAAGTAGACTTTAAGTATTTATTTACCTTATTATTTTAAAAATTCCAGGAGAATTCAAATGACACCGCTTCGAGCGAAAAGCTGCAGGGTACTTTCTCTAGCATAGCTAAGGATAACAAGAGCGGACTTAATGTCGGGGACCCGAGCTTACGTACCGACCAGTTTATGGATTCCTCCGCTGCCGTCAACGAAGCCCTCCACATAGCCACCACAACTACATCTTCTGGTCCATGTTTATCTGGGATCGGACTTAAGCATGGTGATAAGACAGTGCCGACCGGCCCGATTGTGACTACAGCTTTCTCAGGTATTGGCCCAGCCAACGTCAACTCAGATACTTTTGCCTCCAACTCTCGACTTATCAAAGGCGCTGCCAAAGACGGCTGGAATGACCAAGAGACCCTCCTACTGTTAGAAGCACTTGAAATTTACAGGGACGATTGGAATAAGGTTTGCTTGATTTATTCTTGAGATACATGCACCATTTTAAGTATTTTTTAAAAATTTACGTACTTAAGCTTAATATTAACGATATACGTTTTCTTTATCATACGCCTCAAAACTTGTTTCAAAATATTCGTCGTTTTGGTTTGACCTCGTTTTTGCAACTTTGTCAGAGCGTCAGGTATACTTTTTAAAACGTACTTAGTTCTACTATCGTATTCGTAATTCCCAGCACCGAACCATTGACTTGATACCAAGTCAAGACTGTAGGATCCAATTTGGCGGAGTTATGTGCAGCCAAACTATCGAAAAATCATTTGGATATATATATATATGAGATGTATTCACCCTATTTCGTTTAAGATGATGAATACATCTCATATTACTGATTTACTAATCGTCTCGAAACGTAGTCGATTGTTATAGCAAAAATACGGTTGCTTCATCGAAAATCCCACCAAATAATGTTATATGGGAAAGGGGTTGGCCTTGAAATTCACTTATTTGCTGTGACTCAAAAATACTCGCGGTAATGTGGCCGAGTGGCTAACGTTTCAAGCTCACATTCTGCACTGTCACGTTTCGACTGTCCTTGAGGGTCGAAACTGCAGTCCATCCTAGATGAAATCAAATTTAGGGAAAGCAAGGCTATGTGAAATTAAATGTAAACGTCAGCTCTACTCATCATTTTGGAAAAATTCTACTATCAGTCCTTCATCACCTTAAACAAAATAGGGTAAATACATCTCATATTACTGATTTACTGATAGTCTTGAAACTCTACTTACATAGGAATAAAATATATACACTATATTTTTCCAGGTTTTTTAATGTGAGATGCTGCAGTCGAGAACCGGAAGATGAATAGTTACCGCAATCTTATGCTGTAAGAATATGCTTTGACATACATTTAAACAAATCTTTTGACTCAAATTCAGACATGTTAACTCCATTTTCTGATTATTCGTATATACATAGCCATTATATCAAGCTACCATATTAATATAAAGCGCCATGTTGACTGACTTTACAATTTAGCTAAATACAAAAGATGCTTGACGAAAATACTTTTTTTTCGAAGGTATGAAGACCAAGATGATGTGGCTTTTTGTGTGGTCGCAGTCTCCTTTCGTTGTATTAAAGTTGTTTGACCTGGTTTTCGCAACTTGGTCATATTGGTAGGAGGACTTAGAGGAACGCACCTAGTCTGGAGTCCATTGTTTGCATGATCATATCGAAAGTCGGACAGTGGACGTGGTACATTCCCAGACGTTTCGTCAGAATCGTAGTCGGTATCGTTAGTGAGTCTCGCCATTCGTAGCACCATTTTACAACTCGTCAACGAGACAAGTGAAGCCGATAATTTGACCAAACGTGTGCTAACCAGTTGTGGTATCCATACTACCAAGTCTATGACTTGCCATGCCCTAGTCGCTTGTGTTATAACCCACAAATATTGTAGTACTGCTGGCCTTGATTAGGTTAAATGTTGTGTGCCAACCCACAAACGTTGTGGTTCAACATTAAATCTAATCAAAACCAGCAGTACCACAACATTTGTGGGTTGGCACACAAGCGACTAGGGCATGGCAACTCATAGACTTGGTATTAGGTATAGAGACAGGATAGACGAGTCGGCGATTGGAGGTAGTTGGCTCACAGTAGGTTTTACAAGAAACGTGGTCAATCAACCAGGGGATGGACGAATTACGCCTCGATTAGCACAGAGGGGGGGACAGGGGTCAAGTGCATTACATGTAACAGGGAGATAGCAGAGGGATTCTACCGGATTCCAACAGGTAATCTCTAATAGGACCTAGGGAAGGACTACGTAACAATATGACTGACTCTGGTCAGCATTCCTAGAACAAGACTGACAAACTTGAATGTTTGGGAGTTTATACCACAAAATGCGGCGACTGTGAGCAGAAATATATCGGTGAAACAGGAAGAAAAATCGGCCTCCGAATCAAGCAACATCAAAGACTCTGCAGGAACATGGATACCAAAAGATCCGAAATAGTAGAACACATTGCACGAACGGATCACGAAAGCGGGAGGAGGATGAACGACTACTATTTATGGATATTGAAGTCATGCGCTCCAAAGGGACACTTATAAGGAGACTATACAGAAAGAATTCATATACCGGATAATCCTTAATTTTTAGTCCCATCATAACTACAGACTGGTAGTATCGAAAAACCTTATGAAACTAGTAATAAGTAATGTACTCTTAATATAGCAAATACAACTTTGCTTTATCGACAATCCCACCACAGAAGGTGATATGGGAAAATGCTTCGCTTTCCTTAAAATACATATATGTCTTGTGGAACAATCCCGGCTCTAGTCCTGCAGGGAATACTCTATAATTTAGTTCGAATATGCAAGATAAATTCCATCCTAATCTAACACAATTGCTATCCTTTCCTCTATTAATTTCTATTAATCACTTCTAATGCTTCCATCAAATTTTTCCTGCCTTAAAATACCACTTTCTTTCTTCGACTCTAGGTTGCCGAACATGTTGGCAGCCGCACTCAAGAGGAGTGCATTCTCCACTTTCTCCGCCTTCCAATTGAAGACGCCTATTTAGAGGGCTGTGATCCCGGCTTGATGCAGATGACTGCCCTTGCTGATGCCAGTCCACCAGGGCTTGGGCCACCCTTCTCGCAAGCCGGTAATCCCATTCTTTCTACTGTTGCTTTTCTGGCAGCCGCTGTTGATCCACGCGTGGCAGCCGCAGCTGCCCAAGTAGCGTTAACTGAATACGCCCGCCTCCGGGATGCCGTACCGATAGGTCTTCTTTCTGAACATAAGGCTCGCCTCGAAGAAGCTGTGACCAAGGCCTCTGCTTGTGCACCTTCTACGCCTAATACAATATCGGGACATTCCGCAACTGGTGCGGCACACGCTGCTTCTGTGCCTAGCTCACTGATTTCTTCCGCATCTGCCAGTTTAGAAGCAGCTGAACAGGAAAAAGAGGTATCGATTTACGGACTGATTTAAAATAAGTCCCAATTTTTACATTACTATTCTTAAATACGTTTATCAATAAATGCAAAGATATTAATTCTTCGACATTACAGAAAATATTCTACCCTTGATACATAATGCTAATCAAACTGGCAATATTCAAATTGGATATAGTCGTCTTGCTTCAAATTTAAAGAAATAATTGAAAATTTGATGCTAAAAATATTACGAATTTTTAGCTGTATTTAGATTAATAGTCAGACAAACTAGCCTCTAGACTAGTGAGATTGGCTTATTGGTGAAGATCTCGGCACTGATCGAATAGAGTCCTTTGAGAACTTGTTCTTTTCTAACTTTTGAATTCCTTTTCAAGTAAATGAATTGATTAAATTGTATTATTCTTCTCACTAATTTCGACGCATTCAAGCGTATCTTTCAAGTATCATTACAAGATTATAACTTTACTAGGAGATAAAAAAGTCTAATTTGAGATATAAATGAAGGAGTTTAATTAATTTATTTCGTTTTTTATTTATTATGGTGGCTTGTTCGATATTTTTAAAGTTACAATTTATATATATTTATTTTTGCTCTATCCAACGAATAGACAATTGTGGCAAGGCCTGTCAGCAAAGAACCTTCTAACTATACAGAAAAGTCAGCATCTGAATGTGCTATCAAGAAACTTGATGAAAAGAATGGCGATAAAAAGAAGAAACTTACTAAGTCAGCTAAGAAGAAGAAAAAATTAGGCAAGCATTCAGCTAAAATGGGAGAATTAGATGCAGAAGTGTTATCTGGCGTAACTTCGAAAACGGGAGTGGATGGCAAAGGAGTCGACACTGGAGATGAGGAAATGAAAGAAGCGCTTTCAAAGAAAGGGGAAGAGGAAGAGGAGGAAGAGGACGAAGGTGATGAAGAAGAAGAGGATGAGGATGATTACGATGGGGAGGTCAAAGAAAAGACAAAGGAAATAGATAAAGATCAGCCTGAAGAAATTGTGGAAAATATCTCTCTCACTGACAGAGCGACACTTGGTAAGCTTGAGGAAGATGCTGATCAATTAGAAATTACTCAAAACACGACACGCAGCTCGGCTGGTAAAGCACATTGTGAATCGAAGGCGATTATCGGTCGAATTGAGCGCACAGGTGTCATGGGAAGTACTCCTGATGAAGCAGCTACAACAGGGAGGACCTCGACTCCAACCACAACATCGTCTGGTGTTGTTGGTTCATCACCTAGCTCAAGCTTGATTGTTCAATCAATTGAAGCCAGAAGGACTGTATTACCACCAAATCCGGATAGCCTAGGTACTGCGGCAGCTTGTGCCCTTGCTGCAGCTGCAACAAAAGCTCGTCATCTTGCCAGTGTTGAAGAGAAACGAATCAAAGGACTAGTGGCCCAACTTGTGGAGACACAGTTGAAGAAGTTGGATATTAAGCTAAAACAATTCCAGGTTAGGTTTTCGTGCAGATGCTAATTTTAAGTAATGTATAATAAATTTGTTTATTTGCATATTCAATTCAAAAGTTTTTATTTCTTGAGGTTGCAAATTTTTTCTTAATTTTATCTTAAAGCGATTTTTCACGTGTACAATGATAGCGTTCATTTAACTGTATATAAATAATTTTTCGAAGAATCTGTTAATAAATTGATGTTGGATTAGCTTTTATTTGAAGAGAAGAGTGGAAGTTGGTAAGCTGATTGCACTGAAAGCTGTAAGGAGATTGCTTTGGAGATGAGATTTTAAAATGGTGCAAATAGATCCACGGCGCATCGCTCTGAGACCCCGATGAATCCTTGCCGAGCTTTTGTTCGTCGTGATGTACATCATCAGAGCAGGACACCATGCTTAACGTTAGTTCGCCAAAAACACGAGGGCAAGTAAAGTGCCAGGCTTCAAACTTACTTAATTCTCAGTCCAATTTGGTCCTTTAAAATATATCATGTTTTGGTTGGATATCCTATGCTTTGTCTGATTGTTTGCTCAAAAGTTGGGTCAAGTGGCTGTAGATGAAGTGTGGAACGGATGCATCTACCCTTAAAACATTTATGCCCTTGCTTCTGCAATATTACCGCATGTTATTGCGTTTCATTGCACGCATGTCGTGTGAATGCGTTGCTCTTGGAATAAGTGATATTATATTCAAAACCATATTCGAGCTTAATCAAACCTTTGTTCGGTAGTAATTCTCGTTCAATCTCCTTTCTCTCCAATCCTATCCAACGGCCACAAGTAGTTTCCACTTAACTATACTAATTGCTTCTATTCTGGATGTTGGCTGTTTTGCTGATTTCTATCGCCTCCTTTATCTTTCGCTTAGTGGTATAGTTCCCATATGACATTAAACAATCTATCAGTTGTCCTGTGCGAGATGTCTTCGGCCAATACCGATTTTTGGACCCGCAGACCTCTGCGGTTTGTTCTCTGTTCAGATAACCTCTTAAACATGGGCCTACATGTCTATCCCACATAGGCGCTACGGCATAAACACAAAATATTGTAATAGTCCGATCTGTAGAAAAGATCAAATTATTCTCGAACAGAAGGTAATTATAAGGAAAATGTTATATTCTCTTTATTAATGGTCCTTATTTCCCACTTCGGTAATTCGCCTATATTCTTTGACAGATTGCATAATGGCATCATAAGGGTTGAATGATTTGATTTTTCATCTAGCCTCAAATGTGTATTTCCTTTTATCCTTTTTAAGAATATTCTAAAATAATTGTTAACCACTCGTGGATAATTATTTTCAACCAGAATTCCTCTTAGTCTTATAAATTCCTGGTCTCGTTGCTTAACCTCTGCCAGATGCCAGCTCCTTATTCTCATATACTTTATATCTCCTAATTTAACCCCATAAACCGATTGGATAAGAAAATAAAAAAAAAACATGCATTTGGGGTTTTCATATACACATATCTACCTAATATAGTCCTCTATTTGCCAACTTGTTCATGAATGTCTTCTCATCGATTCTGTTCGCCAAACGAAGAAAATTCTCTAGGTTTTCATTACTTTGTTGCCAAATATCAAAGTAGTCGTCCATATAGCGAACTAATACTATATGGACTAAAAGTTCCCCATCAATTAGGCGTTCTTCAAATTGAACCATTTAGTTAATTTGTGACAAACCGATCACATAGCTTATTCATACATTTTGCCATTAAAGGTAAACTATGTATAGTGTATCGCCAAGTTGGTCAATATCATTGCTGATACTTTACTTAACTTCCAACTCCCTAAGATCTCCGCGTTTTGGTTTAGTATGGACTGCAGGGCCTGTATGGCATTTTTCCAGGATTGTTAGTGTACATAGATTCAACATCAAAACCTACCAGCAAATCTCTACTTTCTATATCTTACTTGTCGACTAAATAAACGAATTTATAAGATTTCTTAATTAATGCCTTACACATCTCGGAGATTTGTATAACTGGTTACAAATAAATCGTGATGCTTTATGCATCACGCTTCGCTTATTATTCGCAATAATTCTAAGTTGCACTCCATCTTTATGAATTTTGGGCAGACATTATTCATTCTGAGGCCTATGGTATTGTTTAAGAAGTGTGTTCATTTTCTACTTTTCCAGTTCCCCATTTGTTACACAATGTTACAAGCAACTCCTGTGTCTATACTTAAGGGTTTATGTAGGGTCCCTACATATTACCTTGTATGTGGTGGGGACATCGAAAGTTGTATCATTTTTCCCTACATATCTAAACATTTCTATGACTACCACTGCTCTTCCTTTGTC